ACTCTATTGAGCACATTCCGGGCGAACAGAATGTCTGGGCTGACATTGTGTCTCGTTGGCGCTCTCCCGAACCCGTACATGCCGCCGTTGTGCGCACTCGACGTGGAACATCTCGTCCTGTTGAGGATCTCTCGCCACTTCGCCCCCTCGAAGACGCGGAATTAGTTTTTCCTTCGGTCGAGGACATTGGAGAAGCCCAAGAGCACGCTCGCGGAGAGCGTGGACGGCTAACGGTCGAGCTTGAGGAGGTGGATGGTGTGGCGTGTGCTAGTGGTCGTCCCTGGATCCCAACTACGGCCACTGACTTGCTTGCTCGTCTGTTCGTCATTGCACACTGCGGTGCCCATGGTCACCGAGGAATAGAGCCGATGGAGACTGCTCTCACTCAACGTTTCTACATATTAAAGCTGCACGAGAAAGTGTCCAAGTTTGTGCGTGAATGCCTGTTATGCAAGCATGTCAAGGGATCAAGATTGATTCAGCGCCCGTATGGACCTACTTTTACCGCTTCCCGACGCAATGAAGGACTTCACTGGGATTTCACCTATTTAGGTGAAGGATTTGACGGCAGCTGCTATCTTCTGGTGCTAAAGGACTCCCTCACACACTATTGTGAGTTGTTTCCGTGCAGCACGGCTACAGCGTACTCTGCGGCTGAAGGTCTTCTGGAATCGTACAAGCGGTACGGCTGCCCAGAGACTCTGCTATCTCACCAGGGCTCGCATTTCCGTAACGAAATGGTGGACCACCTGTGTGCGCGGTTGAAGATTGAGCGCAAGTTCTCCCCAGTATACAGTCCGTGGATTAACGGGACCGTCGAGCGTTTGAACAAGGACATCCTTCAGGTTTTCCGCGCGCTACTTCTGGAATACAAGTTGGATTTCCACGAGTGGCCATATCTACTTGCCATTGTCCAAGCCAATCTGAATCACACTGCAGTCAGATCACTTGGAGGTCACTCGCCAATGGAGTTGTTTACTGGGCTTACTCCACCTTCCGCTTTGGATGTCGTCGTACGTGGACCTGGCAGCGACGAGGAATTGCTGGAGATTACGCCGGATGCAGTGGAAGAGCATTTGGATCGACTTCGCAGCTCGCTACACGGTCTTCAT